GGGGGGGGCGGGGACTGAGGATCACCACCAGTAGCCAAGGCACCGCTCCAGAGCATGCAGCTGAGCCAATTCAAACTGGGCCACCAGTCAAGTGTCCCTGTCTGGTGCTTGTGTGCACTGTCCCACTTGGAATCAGTGGCGGCAGGAGCTTGAATGAACTGGCCCTTCCTTTCCAGCCCTGGCAGCTCCTCCATTCTCTCGTAGACTTTGCCAGTCCCATAACGGCAGCTCTGGCAGGGCAGTGCTGGCTGTGCATGTTCAGAGCTGCATGCTCATGCTAATCCCAGGAATACGGGCCCTCCTCCCCTGGAACACCCCCCCCCACACCGATGAAAGGAGAGGTGAGCACCAAGGGCTCTAGCAAACGGATCAGGTCCAACCTTTCCCCAGGAAAGTGGAGCAGAAATGCGGGGCTCCTGCCTCTGCGCCAGGCCAGGGAAATTGCATGCTGGCTGCCCAGTTTCCTCCTTTGTAAAATGGAGAGAAAAAAGCTTCCCAGTGGAGTGGAGGCAGGGGATTGTGAGGCTCACTTTGTTAATGTTTGTAAAGTGCCTTGAGGCCCTGGGCTCAGGGTCACTCCAGCCTTGCCAAGCACGGAGTCTGTGTGCGCGGGGAAGGCAGCCCCTCTGGAGGAGCTGCTCCCTACTGCCACGTGCCGGGCAGTGTTACTTCTGCAGCCGTTGTACCCGATTGCATATACTCTGATCTATTTTCCCATTGTCCCAGCGCCCTGTTCTTTGGGGGGCTTCCCCCTGTGCGGCCACATGAGACCCCCCTGGGAGAGGCCCTGGGACAGTAGGTCACTGACTGGCATGGAGTTCCACCAGGGCCAGGCATGCAAATCGCCCAGGATGTCTCTGGCTACACCCGTCTCAGCTCTGCTGCTCTCCCGTGGGCGAATCCTCCGCTGTAGCTAAGTAACCGCGGCCTCGTGGCTTCACGTGACTGCCAAGAGCTGTTGAAAGCCTCCACTGACCCATGTGCTTCCCAACAGGTCCTTTGAAAACCAAACCCAAGCTCTCCCGCTGTTCCTCACAACGCCCGTCGATAGACACAGCCAGCCTCCCCGCTCGCCCGCACAGCGCCAAACTGTCCCCCTGCAATTCAGGTACCTCCCTGGGGTCTGGTGGGGGACGCAGCCTGAGGAGAGAGGGCAGCTCCTAGAAGAGCCCCGTTTCTTTCCCCTTCCTCCTAGCAGAGATTCCCCCCACCTGGAGCTGGGGAAGGTTATGGCAGGCCCTGTGAGGCGCAGGGCTCTAGGAAGAGGCCCCCAGGAGCAGACATGCCAGTCTGCCTCTGGATCAGCACAGGAGTATTTGTGCCCAGCTGCTGCCGAAGCAGCCAGCAGAGGGGGCAGGAGTTAAAGAACTCGCCCGCTTGCCAGCACAGAGCTTGGGCTGTTTGCCAGCACATCAGCGATGACAAAAGCTAACAAGGCCCTGTGAGGCGCAGGGCTCTAGGAAGAGGCCCCCAGGAGCAGACATGCCAGTCTGCCTCTGGATCAGCACAGGAGTATTTGTGCCCAGCTGCTGCCGAAGCAGCCAGCAGAGGGGGCAGGAGTTAAAGAACTCGCCCGCTTGCCAGCACAGAGCTTGGGCTGTTTGCCAGCACATCAGCGATGACAAAAGCTAACAAGGAACTAAAAGCGCCCCTGGGACACCGACAGGCTCAGTAAACAAAGGGGAGGA